TCAAAATTCAGTGAATATTAAATCAAACTGACAAACGATTAGATTGTTTGTTTAAAAAAATAAACGCCCGAAGGAGGATCGACCAAAACTTATCAATTCCCCACTGTCATAAAGAAACCACAGCTTTCGTGGCTACACAGAATAATTCGGTTTTAAACTGACAATTTAGCAGAACTTTTTCTTGGCGGGGGGAGGGTTTTTTATTGTCTTGGGTCTTGTCTCTTTCTATAATTTTTTTAAACAAATGTTTGCTCATTTCTATGAGTTAAAATATACATAAATAATGATAACCCAGAGACAGCAAATAAAACAAGAGGCCCATGGGCCACAACGCTCACCTGAGTAACTTTGGCATTGCTGTTTTTTCACCTGATCCACCCCCCTTGTAGTACTTATTGTGGCCCCGCCCTACCCCCAGGGGTCATGATTTGAACAATTTAGAATCTACATTACCCCAGGATGCTTCCACATAAGTTTTAGCTTTTCTGGAGAAGAAGATTTTTTAATGACCCCACTTATTTTTGTCTTTTCTAGATTATCTCCCCTTGTAAGGGGGCTTGGCCCATCATTTTAAACCCCCCTTTACCCAAGGATGCTTTGTACCAAGCTTGGTTAAATTTGGCCCAGTGGTTCTTGAAAAGAAGTTGAAAATGTGAAAAGTTTACAGACGGACGGACGACGGACAACGGGTGATCAGAAAAGCTCACTTGAGCTTTCAGCTCAGGTAAGCTAAAAAGCTTAAAATGTTACATTTTGTACCAAATGACTGGCTCATCTAGCCATTTTTCAAGGCATAATTTAGCCAAGAAAAACAAAATACTGGGAAAATATTTCCCCCTTTATAAGAATAATCAGATTTACAACAGAATGCTAAGATATCATATGTCGCGTCAATGAAATTTTCACTTCCAATGGGCAAGGGTTTTCTGAAAATGAGAAAAAGTTTAACTTTGAAATTTAATTAATAATGTGCATCTTTGTCCCAAATTAATGCTTTCAACCATAGGCGCTCCCCATGTAAGTTTATAGATGCCGAAATGATGTCTACATAGGTCCACACCTCTACACTATAAAATCAACAAGGCCTGCAACAACTGTTCAACTTTTGTTTCAATTTCTGTAAATCTGTCATCCCACCAGGTGTTTCATTATTGTTTAGAAAGCATGTAAAAAGTAATTCAAAACATGAAAACTTTCAAAGATTGTCTTTAGTTTACTAAAACCCAGGTTTCGGGACCCCCTCCCCCTGAGAACCTCCATCAAGACACTACCCTTGACCCTCTTGGGACTCGGGTGGTCCCAGATCCCTTGCTTCACTGAAAATTTGAGCCTAGTTACGCCCTTGCCTGCCGAATCCAAATCAAAAACTCCCTCCTTCTTATAACAGGTTGGAGAGAATGCTCGAAAATCGGGTTATAGCTGTAAAATTGAGAATAGTTCCCGATATTGGGTATCGTTGTATCTATGAAATCGGGTATAGGCCGAGTAATATATTTTGTTCAATGTTAAAAGTATTTACAATATCCTTAAATAAATAGCCTTCACTACAAACGGCAAAATACCCAAAGTCTAGGGTTTATAATGATTCCATATCAATGCAAAATCAGGATTCATTTGTAGATATTACATCAACATACAAGTCAACAAAAAGCGACCCGAAAGACTTGTTTTTCATATCAGATATTTTGTATAGAAACAAATTCATAACAAAATATATCAACTATTTGTGATTAAATAGTTCAAACTATGACCAAAAACCATAAATATATCAACTTATATTTGTTTTTAAACAGCATAACCTTTAGATGATATTTATATTTGCAGAATATCATTTCATGTACCGGCTATATTTTGTAATGGGTAGCGTATTAGTCATGCCTACAAAGTCTGGATCTGAGGGGATATTTGAATGATAGATTCGTCCGAAGAGCTAATCATCCTTTTGGTAGTAAACTGTGCCAAATGTATAGCTGGCAGCTACCAGACCTTTCCGACTAAATCAGAAGAGGAGAAGAAAGAAGTTGTGGAAGACGAGAGGTTATAACAAAAAACCCCTTTTATTGAAAATTACCATAGCTAGGGAGCAAAGGATGGAAGTAAAGCACTGATGTAAAGAGAGCATTCTAGAGAAATTGTGGTGAGATACTGGGTGGAACCTGGTGCTTCACAAAACAATAGGTACTCTGAATGTTCGAGGAACACAGTGCAGTTTTCTTGCTCAAGAACCACGGCCTAATTTTTTGTTTCAATCAATTTTAACTCAGAATAAGAGAGAAAAAATATATAAAAGAACTCTTGTCCGTTGTAGAACCCAGTAGGTTTACAGGTTTCATTTTGGTGACAGTCGGTCATGTGATGGGGTATATAATACAATTTAATTTTTATTAAATTAATCATTATATTTGTGTAGAAAATTCTTGTTCTTTCTAAAATCGGTATTTATATGTAGTAGGCTAGTAAATAAAAGACCAAGTACAGTGAAGGTACTGCTTATAAATGAGGACACTGTATATAGTAGAAAGAACTTTGTCCAGGGTACCGTGTCTTGTATATTTGGTTACTGTGTATCAGATGCCGCGTTCTGTTTGATGACGAAAGGTACTGGGTACCAGTTTACATTGTTCAGGACTGTGTTCTATGTAAAGTGTGATGAAACCAGCTACGTTTGATGGTACCCCATACCCTACAGCACCTTGTGAGGTGACTGAAAAAATAGCAAAAGGTCAGTTTATAAACGTTCTTACTGCGTTTAACATGCGATTTCGAATTCAACAATCGAGACCCGTATCTCTTAGCGTCAATGGAGACAAGATGTTGGATTTGCCAGGGGATCATCAACGGCAACTGCCATTAGTAACTCGCAACAAAATATTCTCACTACAAGAAGTTTTACACTCATGTGTCATAACTGTGGAAAACGGGGGCACCAAATGAAGAACTGTTTTGATGGCTGGTGACCAAGGTAAGACCCAGGTACAGAAGATTGCAGTTCGCGATCATGTACCACAATGTAAAAGGATCAATAAACAAGCCAAGGGTGCTAAAGGAGCTACAAACTAGGATCCATATACAGGCTGGTCTATTTGTAAATGCAATTGTGAATAAGGTACCATATAATTGTTTGCTTGACGCGGGAGCTACTTTGACAACTATTTCTCAGAATATTATTTAAAAAATTACCAAGGAAGATAGAAAGGAACTTATTCCGGTTGTCATGGTTATCAGCATATCCATCATTCTAGCAGATGGAGCTTTGCTACAGGTAAAGGGGAAATGTAATATGCATATAAGTCCGTGAATTTGACTTTGAGGTTATGGTTGCCGACAGAAGTGCGGAAGGTAACCTTGGTTTAGAGTTTTTTTTTGAGCAGAACAAATGCTTGGTAAATGTGACATCAACCAAGATGTTAAATTGGAGAAACAGTTATTGAAAGGGCACATAGGATGTTTGTGTGTGAGTTTAAAGGAAACTGTTCTATATCCCCAAGACGTGGGTTGACCAGGTCAGTTATTACTTCCAGCTGATACAAGATATTTGGAACCTCTAGTAATTGAAGTCAGTGAAAAAGTTTAGGAAATCCGGTAAGGCCTTGGTTGCAAGATCTCTTGTAGATCCTAAAAAGTAGGTGATGTTAAGATTGATAAATTTGTCCAGTCCAGTAACTCTTAAACTGTGTACAGGAATACTGCTGTAGGGACAACATCACCTGTTGAAAATGTGATCAAAAACAGAGAGCCTTTCTATAACCTTCACACTGTCGAGGATGCCAATGTTGTTCCCGATCATTTGAAGGAATTTTTCTGGGAAATTAAACAAGAGTTAGATCAATTTCAATCAGAGAAAGTGGGGAAGGAACCTTCTTCTTTTAGGGAATAATATCAATAACACGTACAGAACATGCATCATACTTTCAAGTTTGTTCGTTTTGCATTGAAATGGCGCCGCATAGTGATATAAAGTTTTTTTGAATGATTATATATTTAATACAAAATCAAAAAGAGATTTTTGAAAGCCCCATAATCCCAAATACAGGTGATAATGAATTATTACTGCATAAACAAGAAAGTTCACGATAGAAAAGTTTGAACCCTCACGTTTGTTATAAAGTTTAATATTTAGTTGGCTGTTAACGTCTTAAGTTAGTAAAACCTCTTAAAAACAGATGTTGCACAATCTGTGGTGTCTGTGGTGTCTGATATTTCGAGATCACTGGGATATATCGAGGCGGTATATAAATAAAAAAAACTATTGTTGATTCGTAAAACATTGTCGACATATCTATATGTCAATTTTTAAGGCCACAGCAAGACTTGCCTTCTTCTCTTGGCGTCTTTTGTGAACAAATTTTGCTTTAAGTAAAGCGCTGGTCATCTGCTGACTGTATATATGATGCATTTTGAATGTACGTTTTGCTGGTTTGTGCCCTTAATAGCCTCAACAGATTGACACCTATTTTACACTGGGCGACGTGTCAGCTGGTACATAACCATTATTTTGTTGGTAATAATTCTTTGAATGCTCTTTCTTATATGATCCACCCCTGCCAGTTTCTACAGAGTGCATGCAGAGGTTATAAAACTTTAGAATAAATAAGAATAAGCACAAAGTTTTTTGGAGATAGTGGGTAAATAGCACCAACTAATTTGTTTATTAAAATGTTATCTGACCGTTTTTACCCGTTTACCTAATGAAATAAAATAAAATGGGAAGTGACCCACAAAACACTTTAAAGGTGGTCTAAATATGTATGTCTTGTTTACTCAAAAGACCCACTTTCATTTAATACCAAAGAACCAATTTCACACTTTTAACTATATCTTTTACAGCCCAAATGTAAAGAATGCTTCGGAATACCCTTGATGACTGTAGATTGATAATTTTTCTTTTCCTTCTAATTTTTATTTTTGTCATAAGAGCTGTTATCTGGTCTGGCTTTGTTTACTGTGAACATTGTTGATCTAGCCACCTACGAGATAATTGATTGTATGCATTTCACAAAATGGCGACCGCCTCATGGAAATTTTTACCTTATGGAAAACGATATCACATATTTTTTTTTCATGGTTCATCTGAGAGGGATTGTGAATGGATAAGGGATATCATAGAGCAAATTGAATCTCAGAGATATATTTGTGGGTGTACTTATTTTGATTTTAAATCACATTTATCTTTCTTCGATAATATTGGTTTAGTGGTAAAACAGGCAGTCGTCATAGCTTTCATTCTCTCTCATGAGTCAACAAAATCGGAAGTCTTTCTTAATTTAGTGGATAACGCAGCGATGTATATTTTACGTCAAAAACGAGAGAAGCCAGTACCAATGATTCCAGTTCTACTTGATGATTGTGAAATCCCCCAGTGTTTGATCAGTTATGAACCTCTTGTTGCCTCAGATGAAAGAAACCACTGGTGGCCAAAATTAATGAACGTTCTGGATATTGAAAATTCATCTTGGAGTGGTGGTGAGTCAGATAAGAAACTTAAATATCATTTTAATTGTATTATGGAGGAAATAAAAAATGATTCTAGTATGGAAAAAGAAAAACAATTTCAAAAACTGTTGATAGAATCTGGGATAGTATATTACACTGGTCAATTTGGAAGCAGAAAAACAGCTAAAATTCTTCGTGGAGGTTGTGGTATAAAGATAAATTCACAAAGTCTCGTTATAGAATGGGAAATGTTTGTGAATATTATGTCGAAGAGTGAAGAGGCTCTCATTGAAATTGAAGCCTTAAATAAAGAAGTAAAAATTAAAAACATCATTATTAATTTAACAAAGGAAGGAGAAGATAAACTGCTTAAATATTGTGTTGAAAATCTCAAAAAGATTGTAAAATTTTTTGAACACTCCTTGAACTATGATTTTTACAAAACAGAATATGATAGAATGACATATAATGTTGATTTTCAGGGACACACAGGATATGATTTGCTTAACTTGGCTAATAACCTAGCTCGAAATTTGTATTTGGGTAATTTTCAGAAACGCACAATCGAGTTCAATTCTTTGGATAAGAGAATTAAAACATTTGATACATCTCCTTTTGAAAGTGAACAAAGTAACATCCTTGCAAAAGCAGGATTTATCTACTCAGGCGTCTCAGATACGATCACTTGCCATTGCTGTAATCAAAGTTTATTTGGGAGGTTTGAAGATGATTCCGAGTCTGTAATGATTGCACATCACAGCAGATGGAATACCGACTGTCAATACCTTACCAAAAATATCCAGTTTCTGAATATGACACTTCATCAAGGAATCCGTACCTCCCCCCGGCTCTTTCGTCAATAATAGAAAGAGAAACATATAGTCTAACCAAAATTCAGAATAAAGAGTTAGCAGCTGAATTAGCCAAATCAGGATTCGTTGCTATGTCAGAAACACTGAAAGACATACTAGTGGTTTGTACGAGTTGTCACTACGAGCAATGTGTGCATGAGGGCGTTAGTGAAATAAAAGATCTACAAATAAATCATATGATATGGTCTGGCAAAGATTGTTCATTTCTTGTTGAAGAAAAAGGTGTTGCTGCCATCAGAAACTTTTTGCGGGAACGTGAAATTAAAGTTCAATACAGATCATCAATTATATTTGAACCCATCATGATGAAAAGATATCCGTAATCTTATTCATCCCTGACCACCAAGATCATTAAGAATTTTCTTTTTGCACCCATGAGAGTTTTAAGTCTCATTATTTGTGCTTGACAATAGTTTCTCATCCTACATAAGTATTCATTGTTCCATTATTGTATTTAACATGTGTTATTCTACATCAAGGAGTTCACAGTGATCAATTGTACTAAATCCTATAAACAATACAAATCCCCCTGACAAGAATATGCTAAAGTAAACTATAGTTAAATATAATAAAGTAAGTTTTCAAAGTTATCATTAAAGTGTCATATATAGTGATCATTATGGTAAATCAAAGTTTTCAAAGTTATCACCATAGTAAATCAAAGTTTTCATAGTGATCACTATAGTATTAAAAGTTTTCATAGATATCACTACAGTGTCATAGTGATCACTATAGTATTAAAAGTTTTCATAGATATCACTATAGTGTCATAGTGATCACTATAGTAAATCAAAGTTATCACTATAGTAAATCAAAGTGTCAAAGTTATCACTACTCGTTAACTACATGTATAGGTTTTACAGTGTCAAAGTTTACTATTACTATAGTTTACATATAGTATTTTTTTGTAAGAGCAAGAACAGTGCAAAACCATGGACCCTTGGAAACATCACATTAGCATTATTTGTATACCATGTAAAAGAAAAATTACAGTTTAAATGAAATTTCTTTAGTGGCAATACCAAATTAGAGTGAAGAATATTACTTTGTATAAATATGACATTATCATGTCTGACGTTCATTTTTTTTATATCCCAAATGTTCGCTTTTCAAATTAAATTTAATGTTTCTTCTTTTTCATATACATGTAATTTTACACTAAACTACGTAAGTTTTTCTTTTCTTTTCCGCCAGTTTCTTTTATTCGATGGTCGTGATTATGATCTTGTTTGCAACTACAACCTATCGTTGTATGGGTTGTATTTTGTCTGACATGTTTCATATCAATTGTTAAGTCATTATTTTTATGTCAAATTTGACCACGGATAACTCCGTTACTTGATAAATACATAGGGCTCAGTCGACAAAGGATGCTTAACACCTTCAATCACCTGATCCCAAATCTAGTGTTTCCAAGGGACCGTGTTTTTGCCCTATTCACGATTCGTATTCTTACTGGATGTATGAGATTGATCACAGATCTTTATCTTCACTTTTTCACATTTATCGAGGTGTTTGTATACTGTACAGATTCTGCTAGAATATTATTAGCCTTTTAAAGATTATTTAATCTTTAATCTGTTTTATGTTTTATATACATCACAGATTTATTGTTTTAATCTCTGAAAGTTTTTTGGCATGAATTTCCTACAATCATAAATCACACATGATTAAATTCACCAGATACACGTGCTTGTGTTTCATCATCATTTCATGTGTTAAATATTTAGCACATATTTTGCCAATCCTTCATGTTTGTCATTTTGGAAAAAGTATACAGTATTTGTTTATCATATGATGCACAGTTCATCTTCATTAATTTTATTATCTTGCTTATTAAAGGTTCCTTATGTAGGTATTAAAAAGGGATGGGTATGTCGAATCCAATAATTTTTTCCCTCCAATAACGTTGTTGTATGGAATTTCTACTTAACCGAATTTTTCGCCCTCTTTACCTTACCTCTGCTAAAATTCATTCAAACACATGCAGAGTATAAACCTGTACAAGAGAACAACAATGCTTGGGATTTGGTTTATCTATTTTCTTGTATACAAAATATTGTTATATTATTATTAATATAAATATTAATTATTATTTTTCCTATATCATTATGAAATGTGAAGATAACGAACAGTAATCAAAGTCCAAGCTAACAGTACAAATTGTGAGCAGAGCAAACACGGACCCAGGGAAACATAATGTGGCATGGAGGAGTAAGCATCCACTGACGACCGGTGTTGTAGAGGGAAACTTCTCCCTATAGTGACTCCCCCCCCCCCCCCCGGAAGTTTGGTGCTATGGTGAGCCCACGCATGGGGATTTCTGACTTTAGAGCAATACTTTCCTCCTAAAATACACCAGGTGAAATGTTTACTCTAGAATACTACTTCCCCCACCTGGAAGATTTTAGCTGGAGTGATACTATCACCTTTGGGGAAGGCTAAGTCTAAAGCCAAGTTTCTTTGAAGAGCTCTTCATGAGACTCTTGATAAACAGAGAGACCCTTATCGGCGATTTCTGTTTTTGTCAACTTAGTGGATAGGAAAGGAGGATATAGATTTGATATTTTAAGCACTACTAGCATATCAAAAGCATTGTTCATGCTTTCTTATTACCTTCTATTTCACATTGAATATTAAGTACATGAATATGATGTACAGAAAAAGGGGTATATATATATATATATATATATATATATATATATATATATATATATATATATATATATATATATATATATATATATATATATATATATTTCCATTTGTATTTGTTTTCTCTGTGATAACTCTTTGAAAGTTAGGAGAGTTGATTTCTTGATCATTCTACTGGAATGCAAATTTCGCCAAGCGTAAGTTCAGGTGCTAAGAAGGCCTAATATGCATGTAATTCTCGTGCGGTTGTCTTTGTGTTTGACGCCAGTGGGCGGGGACTATTGAAAATGACATGTGAGGCCTCGTGTAATTCAAATCTATTAGTCTACATTTTTAAAATCTAAATTTACAATTTTATTTCACAATGGAATGGAAATATAAGGAATCACTGTCTAGGTAGTAGAGTATGCCAGGGACATCAACGATAGTTGGAAACGTGGGATGATTGATGCATAACGGGCTTCGCCAACTATCGTTGATGTCCCTGGAATACTCTACTAACTAGACAGTCATTCCTTTTATATATATATATATATATATATATATATATATATATATATATATATATATATATATATATATATATATATATATATATATATATAAAGGCTCAGATCAGCTTTTTGATCGAAAAGGGTATGTCTTCTGTCTGTGTCTGTCTGCTGTTTGTTGTGAGTAAACTTTTCGGATAATCAACTTCTACTAAAAAATACACCGGGCAAATTTCGACCACAAAGCATTCCTCTTAATATAAATAGGATTCAATTTCTTGAAATGAAGAGCTACATAATATAAGCCTTCATGGTGGGGATAATAGAGAAAGTTATATATTTTTAAAGAGTCGCTGGCCCAAAATACTTGAAACTTATGTCAAAGCATCCTTACATAGTGTAAATACAACTGTTTTCAAATCATGGCCCCTGGGATAGGATGGAAAAATACTAAGGGAATCAATTTTTACATGGTAATACATGTTTAAAGGATTGATTGATTTTATGTTCTTTAACGTTCAATTCGAGAATTTTTCACTCATATAGAGACGTCACCGAATGCCTGTAAAGGGCTTAATTTTGAACTATATTTGGCACTGAGGGCCATTGTGCAGTGAGGGTTCTTTATCGTGTCATGCCTACAATGACAGGGGACCACGGTTTTTAAGGTCTCATTCGAAATACCACTTCTTGGCGAAGGCACAGTAACTACCTATGTTTACTTCTAATGTCTGACGCAGCATCAGGAACGAGAACCGAACCCGGTACCTCCCGCTCACGAAGCGAGCGCTTTACCACTAGGCTACCGTGACTGATTATGTTTAAAGGAAAAAACTACTTAGCATTCTCCACTACAAAAGATTGATTTTGTTTAACGCCGAGTCGGCAATATTTCAGCCAAATTTAGGCGGTGAAAAGTTACGTCTAGGTTTGAGACACTACAAAAGAGTACTGATTTGTTATACATTAATATGTTACCAATTTAATACACAATTATGATTGTTTCAATCAGGAACCCCAGGAGTGGAGAGGAACAACAATCAGGGATCAAAGTTTTATCTAGGAAAATATTGGAAAAACAGCAGGGCCATAAATAATAATATTGATATGCAAGCATTCGTTGATCGTTCCGATTAAGTTATATTTATATCAAGGTCACCGGACGGTAGCTGTTGCATGAGTGATTAGGCTTGGATCACCCTTTATATATATATATATATATATGGGAGAGTTTAAACCGAATTTCCACTGTAAGGGGACGCAACCAATATTAATTACAGCGTTGTAGTTTGCTGAGACAATCAATTATGGAGTTGACGAAATTAAGAATGTGATTGTTAGTAATGTAGTCGACACCCGACGCTTTCCTATGCTAGGGAGAGGATATGGCGGCAATGACATCAGCATGTTAAATGAAAATAGAGTAATCGGGATTTCCCCACTCTGCCTAAATGCGCATGTATTCTGAATTTACTATATCTTTCAACTTATTGTTAAAGTTATTGTTTTCACTGTTTCTATAGAAATTTTCATAGAAATCAGCAAAGGGATTTGCTATCCCGTCCGTCTCCAAACAGATTTCCCCGTTAGCTTCATGGATCTCAGGAAAGAATCTAGAATATCTGGGGCGCCTTTGCTCGACTTATCTCCAGAACAGACGCAGGTCGAGATCTGCGGCTTCGTAAATTTTTACGGTAGGTTGACTTTACGGCGGGTGTGACCGCTCGACAGGGGATGCTTACTCCTCCATGGCATATGCTCCCATCTCTGAATTGTTAGAGGTCCTTGTTTGCTCTACTCCAAATCTATTATGTTTCAATGGACCTTGATCTTGATCACTGTATTACTGTTCGTTTTCTTCATATTTACATATGCTTTTTGTTTTCCAAGGAGCTGTTTGTTAATCATCTATCTGCTTTTAATTATTGTTATTAAGACAAATGTATTACAAACAATATAAAATGTCTAATAAATATATAATTCAGATTATTAACTATTTCAATGACAGATTAAAAAAACTTTATAAACTTTTATTTCTTATATTTCCGATGGAAGAACTTATTTTAAGCTTTGATTGAAGCAAAATTACATTATTGTCGTCCTGTACAATATCAATTTCTTATAAAATACTATATATTCCATTGTACAGAAATTTTTCTTCTGAAACAATTTAACACTTTATTTCAGTCTAATTGATCGTTAAAGATTTGTTACACACAGATTTCTCATAAAAAACACGTTTAAACAGCAAAATAATTTTTTCAAAATGCAGCTCATATTGCTTTAATACTTTTACTTTCCATATTTTTTACAATTAATCTTTACAAAGTGATTAAAAATAAATGGCCTTGAAAACAATTTAGGATGAGCTTCCAAAATTAGGCTTAAGTAATCAAATAAAAAAAGAATTATATTTCTGCAAAGCCTTTTTATAGCCCTCTAAAAACATATTACCAATTAAGACAAACATATTTGTCTTTGCAGATAGAATTTCAACAATACATATTTGCCTGGCTTAAAATAAACCTATTTGGTTTGTGATACCATAGGTTTTTGCATAAACACCTTACTAAATTTCGTCTTTGCAATGAATTTGAATAGGAATGGCTTATTGAACATATTACTTATGTAATATATATTTACACTGCAAGATTGTGAATGTTTGAGCAAGACCACTTGTGGTTTGATTAAATACCCTAGGTAACTGAAGACGGATGCATTTTGTAATATTTCAAGGAGACACATATAAATTAAGCAATATTCTGTCTTTTTGGTCATGTGAAACAAATGTCTAAACCCCTTTTACATAGATGGCGACCGTTGAGAAATTGCCGAGCGTTGAAAAATTGGCCAGATCTTTCAATGATTTTTAAATCTTTAAATGGTCACTCAGTCATCGCCATGACCTGAGATATCCCTGAAGTTTTCACAATCTCCAAAGTTTTGACTACCGAAAAAAAATCTCTCCTTCGATCCTTAAAGTAAGCAATCTTTTAAAGAACGCCCAAGGATCGCCAATAGAGCACAGAAAGATCAATTAATGATCTTTTGGTTCTACAATGATCTCAGAGATTTTGATGTCTAAAGGTGAAGATGTCCGAGAGATCATTTAGAGATCGCAGAGAACAGACAGGCTTACTGGAGACTGCATCAGAGTTTTACAGGAGATCAACATCTGCTTGAGAGATCATTCAGAGATCTTGGAGACTTCAATTTTTCATCGCAAAACAAGTGCATTATACCGGTATAATTTCCCTAAACGGACTTTTAAAGTGAAGTCTCACTTCCAAGAACTTCTAAACTGCTATCTTTTAACACACTTTTCTTGAATAAATCATTGAAAACTAATGTATTTAAATGCACAAAAACTACTTGTATAAACAAACTAAATGAGATGTACGCAAGAAAAAAATGATATGATCAAACTGACGTTGTTTTGGAAAAACCATTATATTCTTTCTACATATACTAGTACTTTAGTCAAAAGTCCTAGTATTAAATTTCTATATATGGAGAAGACATATTGTATTGGCAGGATCATTTGAACTCTTGCCTGAAATAAATCAGACTTCGTCGCCAGCATGGCTCAGTGGTAGGAGCGTTTGAAGTACAGTCGCGAAGTAAGGAGTTAACCTTATGTTGTGGGTTTGAATCTCACTGTGGGATGCGGAAATGGTCTTTCGGATGAGACCGTATAAACCGAGATCCAGTGTAACAACAATAGCTGGCACAAAAAAACATCCCACACTACTCAAAGGTCGTAAGTGCCGAGAACAGGTCTTCTGCAGCCCTCCACCGGCAGGTGGCGTCTCAATATGAGTGAAAAATTCTCGAAGGAACGTTAAACAAACAAACATACGAATAATTCAGACTTCAGTATGTTGTTGTTCAATACCAAGTAAATTTTATTATTCATTTTCATTCAAGATCACATTTCAAATATCGTGGTCACGGGAGTCAGGGAAATCCCTCCTATAGCAAGTTTAGCTTGAAAGAGCATAGAAGGACAATCACCAAAATGATGTATTTCAAGTTGACGTGCACGTCAATTTTTCATACGAAGAATACAAAAGCATTATCCATTTATGTTTTATTCTGATTAACTATGTCCAAATCAATTTAGAATATACACAGTACTCAGTTTGATAAAAACAAAACTACTAGAACTAATTTAAAAGAAGATTTCTGTTACTCAGAAAATCTTGTCCCAAAACCAACTGATTATGACTTCGTTTATAAAAATTGGTGCAATTTTGTAGTACTGGTAAATTCCCGATAAGCTGCAGAAAGGTTTCATCACCCTTGCAATGTACAAGAACGTGTAGAGGGTCGTGGGTAGGGCCGCTAGGTTGGCCAGGATAGACGGCTCGTTGGAGTTGCCTTTACAACAATCCCCATTACAGCAGCATTCCGTATAACAGCTTCCTTTTTTACAAATGATCGAGCAACAGCAGCAAGGAAAAAATGTCTTGCAACTAAATTAAAAAGAACAAGCAGTGACATACTATAGTGCTTTATCTTGAGATGACAAAAGGACATGTTTGAAAAAGTTTCAACATTTCAAACCATAGGAAGACACTTTAACCTTTTTTTTCAACATTGCAATAACTATCTACTTACTCAAAGCAACAACAGCAACAAGGGCAAAGGCATTTCAGCAAACCAGTGCAGAACTTTTTAATACAGTTTCCGCAGCAATCCGCACACTTCTGACAAGGATTTTTGCAACAGCCACCGTTTTTCTTTTTATCTGAAGATACTTTCACATTTGTTATGTAGCGCCATATGCTGCTTAACCAAGCTACTAGTCCATTAACGAATCGTTTGATATTCGAATCCCATTTTACTCCGCATTCCAAACATATAGTTTTTTCGTATCGAAAAAGTAGAAAATTTTGTGGAATTTCAATAAATGTTGTCACCAGAAATACCTCTGTTCGTTCATCCAGATGATCTGGAATTGCTACGATAGGATCTAAGCGGTGATTCTGAACAATCTGGTAAACAATATTGACCACCTGAAGAAAGGCAATGACTGTTCCAGCAATTGTAAAATATAACAAGAGGCCCATGGGCCACATCGCTCACCTGAGCACATTGGCTAGGCAAAAGCACAAATTAGTTCAGTATTGAAAAGACCGGGGGAGGGGGGGGGCTTGAATTTTAAACTACCTGACGATGCTTCCATGTCAATGTAACAAATGGCTTTGTTGTACTTGAGAAGATTTAAAAAAAAATTCCCATATATTCCTTTGTAAAAATTTGATCCCCCATTGTGGCTCCTCCCTATCCCAGGGGTCATCATTTGAACAAACTTGAATCTACACTACCTGAGGATGCTTCCATATCAATAAGACTAAACATAGCTTTTCTGTTCTTGAGAAGAAATATTTCTTCTTTATGTTCTTATGTTAAACTTTCCATTCCCCATTGTGGCCCCACCCTACCCCTGCGGGTCATCATTTGAACAAAATTGAATCTACACTACCTGAGGATGCTTCCATATCAAAATGACTAATCATGGTTTGCAGTTCTTCAGAAGAAGATATTTTCCTTTATATTTCTATGTAGAACTTTGATCCTCCATTGTGGCCCCGCCCTACCCCCGGGGGTCACGGTTTGAACAAACTTGAATCTACACTACCTGAGGATGCTTCATATAAATATGACTCATCATGGCTTTGCTGTTCTTGAGAAGAAGATTTTTAAAGATTTTTCCTATATATTTCTATGTAAAACTTTGATCCTCCATTGTGGCCCCGCCCTACCCCCGGGGGTCATGGTTTTAACAAATTTGAATCTACACTACCTGAGGATGCTTCCATGTAAATATGACTCATCATGGCTTTGCTGTTCTTGAGAAGAAGATTTTTAAAGATTTTTCCTATATATTTCTATGTAAAACTTTGATCCTCCATTGTGGCCCCGCCCTACCCCCGGGGGTCATGATTTGAACAAATTTGAATGTACACTACCTGAGGATGCTTCCACATGAGTTTCATCTTTCCTGACCCTATGGTTCTTGAGAAGAAGATTTTTAAATGATGCAATTATTTTTTCAGTAATTCCTAATTATCTCCCCTTGAAAGAGGGCGTGGCCCTTCATTTGTACAAACTTGAATCCCCTTTACCCAAGGATACTTTGTGGCAAGTTTGGTTGAAATTGGCCCAGTGGTTCTTGAGAAGAAGTCGAAAATGTGAAAAGTTTAAAGACAGACAGACGGACAGACAGACGGACAGACGGACGCCGGACAAAATGTGATCAGAAAAGCTCACTTGAGCTTTCAGCTCAGGTGAGCTAAAAACTGATTCGCCACATCCCCTGAAACGAGTTCTTGAGAATTTGTACAATTATTTACCGTGATTCCGAGTGCATTTTTAGTGTTTTCGATAGGGTCTTCCATGTCTGCGTACTGTAGCCAGTCGGATGTGACATTAAGGATAATCAAAATGGCTGAAACTACGCGACAGACAGTGTACCACCATACCTTTCTTGGCTTTGGTGGTTCCTCGTCATTATCTGTTTGCTGTTGATCATGGTAAATTTGATTTTGTTGCTGTCCATTAGCTAGAAATGAGTTATTCCCATTCCCATTAATATCACCTACTATGTAGAGCACACTCTGGGGCGGTAAACCTCGGTCTCTGGGTGTCATTTCCATGTCCTTTGGAGGATTATCAAGTCCTGCAGAATGGAGACTATGTGGTAAATATCCATAGGATGAATAGCTTGGTGGAATATTTTCAGCAGGCGGACGGCTACGAGAAAAATATCCGGTAGGCAAATAACTCCGTGGAAAGTAATTCTCAGAGCTGGAATATATCTCATCTCCTCTTTCATACTTCCTTTCGTTCATTTTCAACCCAGAGTCCCTGTATCCAGTTTCCATCTTTACTGTATGTCTGCAATCCTTTCCATAAACATGCATTCTTTTTCAATGTTTTCGTCCTTTTGCCGTTCTTTAATGATTTATCTTGTCTCTTGCGACGTTTACTTTGTACTCTGAGTTCATCAATGCTCATTTACCTAAGAGATCTTTCAGATCAAATTGAATGGCAAGTGGCCTTATTATGTCATTTGTGTTTGATAAAACGTTAAAAAAATACTTTAACCGGATTAAAAAAAAAAACACCCTTCTATTTCTGAGTTGAGTTTAGATTTAAGATAATTTTGTTCATTTACACAGAAAGAAGATGGGCGTATATTTGTATATTTGGAGAGTAATCAGCAGGAATCATGAGTACGAATCATTCATAGTTTAAATACACAAGTCAAGAAGACGATTTGGTAGGGTACCCACATGCAGCTGGCCAGACTTTACGAAAGCTAGGGTTTAGATAATTGCAAATGTATTAAATTTCAGTGGGTCGACAGAATTGCTTTTCTTCTCAGTGCAGCAAATCAAAATTTAACTTTATTTTGAAATTCAGTGAATAAAATTCTACTGACAAATGACAAGACTGTTTAAAAAAATGTTTACTCGTTTCTTTGAAATTAAATACATACAAATAAAGTTTTTAAATCGTGGAACGATAACCCAGAGACAGCAAATTAAAAAAAAAAAAGACTGAAAATGTAACATTCTGTACCAAATGACTCATCTTACCATATATCACCGCACATTTTAGCCAATAATAACAATATCGGAAAAATACTTTCCTCTTTATCATAAAAACCTGATTCATCAAAAGAAAGCTAAAATTTCATCTGTCGCATCAATGAAATTTTCACTTTTCAAGTGCGCCCAGATTCCTGTTGAATCCAAATCAAAAGCAATCTTGTTCTTTAAGAATACTCGAAATCGGGTATTATCCGTGAAATTGCGTATAGTTCTCGCTATCGTGTATCGTTGAATCCGCGAAATAGGGTATCGGCGTTGTAGTTTCCTTATAAATTCTAAACAACGTGATGGCGCTGATTCAACTTTCACATTGAGACGTACGAATAGCAATTGCATATTAAATAGTTGGAGAATAAGTTTCGAAGTCTGAGATAATGCGCACATAGTAACAAACACTCTTGGAGACTAGTTCGTTTCACATTCTGCACCAAAACAGGCGTTTGTTCTTCTTTATATTTTGTATAATGTTAAAAGGATGTGCAACATCTTCAAATTAATACCCTACACTACACTATCCTATATTTCTTTAGAAATAACACTGCCATTAGTTGGTTTTGTTGTCATTTATTTTTTATTTACAGAATAGCATTTCGTATACATTGTATCATGCTCTTTTACCAAGATAGTTTTTACATACAGATATTTCCATTAACATTAATGATAAACAAGTTAATATCCAGTTGGCATCTTCTCTGGCCCTTCCGGCAAGCTCGGAAAAACACCTCAAATATATTTACATCACCGGATGTTTAAATTTTATACAAAAAGGAGTCGTTTTCTATTTATTAATGTATTGAGTATACAGAGTTGAGTGTCCCCTCTGTAGTATATTTAGGTAATATTTTTACATTCAGTGAAGTTAAGACCGTCACGAAAGCTCTGTCGGTAGAGCGCTCGCTGCGTGATCGGAAGGTTATGTGTTTGAATACAGGCGCGGATCCAGGAATATTTTCCGGGGGGGGGGGGGGTGTCCACCCCAGTCAAAAAGAATTTCCAACCCAAAAATTTCTTATCAAGATAAAAACTTAAAATCCCTTCCCTATCCAGAAAAATTCTTGACAAGCAAAAAAACCCATAAAATATAGTTCCTCACTTAATGCGTTTGATATGAAATTTATTCATGGAGTTTAACTGAATATAGTTAAATTAGCATTGTAGAATCCACATTTATTGTAAGAACTAAAACATTATGCAAAATTGTTGAAATAGAGGTCAAGACAAAAATCTGCTCAAAAGCTCAGGAACGAACCTCTTTAAGGTAGTACACAATAGATAAGCCAAAATTTTCCTCAAATTCATTTTTTTTGAAACTTTGATATTTTGTTATTTTGTTCTAGGATACAAAATCTCTCTTTATATGTAATATGAAAGAAATTCAACCGCACAGTTTTGCCCATATAGTTTGGAATATAGCCTATCCTGTAAGAAGATTGTAAAATCAGACATTCGAATTGAGCATGTGCCTTATCTAAAAATTTTGATTTTTTTTTTTTTTTTTTTTTTTTTTGACAATTGATCTATTGCAAACTTGTGTGATGCTTTTTATAAAGGCAACCTTTTTGTTACTAAAATTAAGTGAAATATATTTGATACTGGTAAATTTGAGTAAAATATGTAAAACTAGGAAATACGTAGCTCCGGAATTGAAAATTCACATGTAAATATGCTACACCTTAAGTTCTCTTGAGAGAAACTGCATGATTCAATTTTTATTAAAAAAAAAAAAAAAAAAAAAAAAAAAAAAAAAAAAAAACAGACTGATTGAAATGGATCACAGATTTAAATGTGTCAAAATACGGAAAATTGAACCGATGGTTTCCGATATTATGGCGATTAAAAAACTTCAATGACAAAAAAATTGAAAGATTCAGTAAATGACGTCACAATATTTGACCTTTGACTTTTTAATATGACCTTGACCTTTATTGTACATGAAGAATGGAGATTCCTTATATATATATATATATATATATATATATATATATATATATATATATATATATATATATATATATATATATATATATATATATCCATCCAAATATCAGCCCTCTATCATTTATGGATCAAAAGTTACACTGCATTTAATAACAGACTTTTATATCCCATTAAGAAAGCATAAACACATTCTAAAATATAAGCTCCCAAATGACCAATATATAGATGTCTCTGATTATTTAAGAAAATAAGACGAAAACATGTCACAGCTCATTATTTTTCTTACAAAAATCATTGATTATTGACAGTATAGAGATATTCTTTTTTTCTCATCTAATTTTTAAGAAATAGGTTTAAATAGATTTAATGGAAGTTTTGTACTACCTTAAATAACCAAGGTGATTGAAGGACTGACGCATATTGTAATAAAACAAGGAGGTATGCAGAAAAAGGCAATATTTTGCCTTTATTCGTAATTTGAGACAAATGCTAAAACCCCTTTTACAAAGAGTTGGTTTTACAAAGAGTTGGCAATCTGCTTTGAAAAATTGTCCAAATCTCTCAACGATCTTTAACCATGATCTTTGATGTTCCTAAGATTTCCACAGTCTCCATGGTCACAAAGTATTGACCCTACCCCCACCCCCACCCCCAAAATGTTTCAACAATCCCTAAGTTAAGCAATCTCTAAAAGAAAGCCCAAAATGGCCAAACGAGCGCAAAAAATCACGGAAGGACATCTTGGATCTCCAACGTTATCACATAGGTTTTTCAAAGAACTTGGAGACCGGACAAGTTTTTAAAACGCCCAAGAAGTCTCTCAACAAATCTTCATGTGTGTATGACAGCTTGTAGTTTTCCCAAGTTTTTTTTCTCCGAAAGTCTTAATAAATTTACCAGGAGAACATGACAGCTTTCATACGTAACAAGTGCTATCTAAGTGTGAAATAGAAAGTCTTGTATTTTTATGAATAATTTCTTCGAGACAAAACAGAATACCTTAAATTATTTATATTTCACGTGATTTAATTAAACAAAAAAAATAACCAGGAGAGAACTCTTCGAGATTCCTTTATACTATATACAAAGAAAACGTTCAATTATAAATCACGGGTACTTATAAGGCACATCAATTGTTTTTTTTAAATACTTTCTTATCCTTTACCTTAGGTATCTTATCCTGATAAATACGAGAAGTGTTTTCCTTCTTAATAGATGAATACAATAATTTATTAGTAAATTATTCGCATCAACTGGTCCATGTTTTGATTGACAAAAAATTAAAAGACAGGTAAAGCAAATCATCAAGTACGAGAATCTGGCTCCCTACATTTAACAATATATGATTATAGAATCAAACTGATGAAAAAATGTGCCACTTAATTAAATCGAAAACTTAGAAACACCAACATTACTATTTTATGTACTGCATATGGTGTTTATGTCTCCCAGCTGATTATATATTCATGTTCTGAATACGATCAATTTTTGTGTCGCAGTGGTAGAACGTCTGCTCTAGAGTCACAAGGTAAGGAGTTGATCCTTACGTCGGGGGTTCGACTCCCACTGTGGGACGTGGAGACCGGTTCTTCGAATGAGACCGTATAAACCGAGGTCCCGTGTCGCAGTAGATGCTGGCACGAAAAAGATCCCTCACTGCTCAATGGCCCTGAGTGTCAAGTATAGGTAAAAAAAATTGCAGCTCTCCGCCGGGAAGTGGTGGCGTCTCCATATGAGTGAAAAATTCTCGAGAGAGACGTTAAACAACAATCAAACAAACAAACGATCAATTTTAACATAGACAGGCTACTGACAAATAAGTTGATTTTATATGATTTCCCAGTTATCTCGATTAAAGTCAGCATTTCGCAAATCTATGGTCTTTATAATGTCCTTGTTCGCAAATACTACCTATTGTTTGGTCGTATTTTGACCGATACGTTGCACATTAATTGTTTTTGCCATTGTTTTTCCATTTTGACTATGGATTAATCCTTTTCCTGATTAATACAGAGGGCTCCTCACGGATGTGCTGGGTCTACAGGGATGCTTAATTCCCCCTAGTCACTTTATCCAACCTCTGGTGTTTCCTGGAGTCCTTGTTTTCGCTCTATAAACAATTCTTATTCTTCACTGGATTTATGAAATTGATCACTGTTCTTTGTGTACGCATTTTATATGTATTATATGTGTGCAATAGTGAATAGCAAAATTATGTCTAGTAAAAATGCTTTAATACATTATGTACTTATACATTTATAGATACATATTTAAAAATTGTTTCAATGAACTTCGAAAGTGATATGTTTTCTTCATATTTCTTGAATAAA